CACCCTTCACAAATCCTCTCCCGTGGCTTCATCGGATAGTAAATTGTTTATCGTATGCACACTTAAGAATCTCGCTAGAAGTATCTTGGTACTTTTTGCCTACTCTTTTATGAGAACTGTGAATTCTGACATATTTCTTTTCTAGTAGGAATGTATGTGATTTCAGATGCAGCCAATCACTTGTCAATACCTTCTAGAGTAACAATGAGTAACAAAAGAGACATTGAAAAATCCCCACCACTAATGACCAGAACAAACAGTTGAACAGAACAGAAGTGTTCATATAACTGTGCTTCAGTGTGAACTCAGCTCAGTCTGGTTATTTAAACAGATCCCCCAAAGCCTAACCCTCTTGATTTCTGAAATATACATTTGCAATAAAAAATCAAATATGACATCTGTACTAAGAGAGCTCTAAAATAAGATCCTTAGAGGAGGCCAGAGCTCACAGCTCATCACTGTTAAACTATCATGAGTGTGATTGACAGATACTTAACTTCACTTAACCCGGCCCACTAACTACTCCTCTGCTCTGTTTAAGAGACTTTCAAATGGATCTCAGTTTTACAAGAAGATTGGATTGAGTTTTAAAGGCTCGGTTAAAATATGTCTTTCTTCAAACGGCATAAAACATTACACAAATCTATCTCAAAGGCTCATGGTAACTGACTCAAAGCACCTTGAGGTCCATATTGGAAGCATATGCAAATCAACCTGACTTACCGCGAAGCATGTCAAAGTTCTGATGTGTGCATTAAAGACTGTAAAACGGGCTGCACCTCTCTGTGCCGTTAATGTAAATCACACCATTAACCAGATGACTATGTACGCCACAGAGAGCTGATGGAATGAAGCATAAATCACCAGATAAGGGTTCAATCAGTGACTGACTGTAACTCTCCCCTTTTCTCTTTGTGTCTCACTTTCACTCTCTCTTTCCAAAGTGGCACTTGAAAAAGGAAGTTAATGGAACTGCTCCACGTTGCACTGCCTCTAAAAGTTTATCCTCTCCATTCACCTCCGCTTGAGTCGCCTCATTACTGAAAAATGTTTCACTTGCCCTTTTCTTCTCTTAAATTCAATATAAAAAATAACAGCCTTGTACAAGATCGAACCATCTCCCTTCTCCTTTGCTTGGCGCATGATCTGTAAGGAGAAAGATGGCTGAACTTCCTTGAGATGCTACTGAATGCTGGCACACCATAATCTTACATTATATATTCCAATCCAAACGGCATTGTTCATTTACCAAATTCAAGTGTCCATCTCTTCTGAACCCTCATCCAGCATCCAATCAAAATGAAGGCTATTATAATTAGATTATTGCCTGGTTTCACAGACAGGAATTAGATTAAGCCAAGATTAGGCCGTAGTTCAATTATAAATTTAAGTAGCTTTTATAAACGTGCCTTAGAAAAAAGCATTACTGGTGTGCATCTTGAGACAAACATATTTAAACGTATTTTAAAATATGTCAGTGCAAGTTGCTTTCAGTTAAAATAGCTCAAACATGCTGGGACTAACCTTAAGACTTGTCTTTGAAACTGGGGGAATATTTATTATATTAGGCTATATAAATTCTCTTAACATTTGAGCATGCATGTCACAACAGATTAGGCTGATTCAGACAACATCAATCATGTTCTACAAAATGACGCAAAATGTTATTTTTGTTTGCTGCATTCATGCTATTACTGAACCCAGAATAGACCACTATTCTGCATCTGTGCACCCTGTTCCCATTAGAGAATAATACAACTGGAACGGTTAATGAAGGATTTGATAAACTAAATCAGTTACATTGTTCGGTACAGAAAACCTGAAGCTTTATGGCTGAGCTTACCAATCAGCTCAAATATTACTTCAATTAAGACAGCTTTTAGAGAAAGTAGTAAGTATGCCTATTTTTATCATCAAAAAAATAATGTAAAATTTATTTTAGGCAATGTCTGGCCAACTAAGTGAGAACTGCACTATGAATGAATCAATGTCGCCATCTGCTGGTCGTCTTATGAACAGCTTCTTATAGTAGACCCGACTGCAATTAGGTCGCTATATGGCAAAACTAGTCTTCTTAAATTAATTAATCTACATTTAGTGAATAATAACATTATGACGCATTAGCTTGGGTGTTAATTAAAAGATTGTGTGCTTTCACTGTATCTGAAAGAAAGCCTTTATTTAGCCTGTAAACCCACCACCTCCAATTCAAATTGCAGCAAAGTTCAGCTCTGAAATTGTAGGCCTACTATGTGTAATGTTGTTATTTTACAGAAGCTAGATCATATTAACGTTAAAGCAAGAGTGCAGTCATTGAGCTTCAAATCTAAGGGACTGTTCGTTATTTATTTAAGGGGCCACCGGAGGAGATTTGAGATCTGTAGTCAAAAAAGACTTGACCCTCCCTTCGCCAGCAATATTTTTTTATATGACCCTCCAAAATGATTGTGAAAAAAGGCATGACCCTCCCCGATAATTTATTGATTAGGCTACTTTTCTGGTTTGCGCTTGGCAAAGATGTTCAGATAGCCATTCCATGATAAACGACTAAACTCCTGCTTTCTCATCTTGCTGTAATGATACACCAAACCTACAATTCGGTTCGTATCACAATTTTTGATTTGGAAAAAAAAAATCATGTTTTCGGGGCTGATGCAGTGGTGACGCGTTCATGTAAAATAAGGGCGCTGCCAATACAGTATCTTAAAGCTGCCACAAAGAACCAGCAAAAGTAACTATTATGAATAATATAGCAAGGGGACATTTTAATTGTTTATTAATAAACAAGTCTTTGTCAGTGTCGGTTGCAAATATAAAGGTGACGATAGGCTACTGACTCGCGATCTTCGCAATAGTGAAAGCGCCAGAGAGAAATGCACATTTCGGATTACATAAGCAGAGAGCAGTCTGTCTGTTTTCTTTCGTTTTGAATTGTTCTGTTAAAAAGTAGACATGTCAAGCTTTCTATATATTTATCAGATCTGTGAGGCAAGTAGCCTACTACAGCCTATATGATGTTTCGGTTAATTTATTTGACAAGAGTCCAGTTCACACGCAGGCGCCTCCGTGTCATGATGATTTTCTACTATTTACTTCTTATATATTAAATCCAGACAATTTGTTGATGAAACATTGATTAAAATTAAGATACAATTTATACAAAACGAAATTCACTTTAAAGAAAGGCTTTCTACAAAACAACACTTAATAAAGTGGTCAAAATCATGGCTGGCCATGTCTCCCTATATATTGCGTAGGCTATACTTTTCATAATTAACATAGATGGAAAAAAAACATTATAATATGAAAATGCGCTTATTATGGCTAACACATATACAGACTCTATTTGTACAAATTGCTGCACATTTATTAAATTCTGAATTTTGCACACAAGTTGAAAGGCATGTGTTTGTGCATATTAAAACATATCTGCAACATTTATCAAGTTCACTGATAATTGTGCATGCATTTATTAATCATTATGATACTAAAATCATAATAAAGTAGTAGGCTTCCCTTTCAATAGTCCAAATTCGCGGTGGCGCTGCCATTTTCGTCTTTCTTCTGTGGATTTCTTCAGCTCCTGGTTGGTCAAATTCAGATAGATCGACACATCGGCTCATTCAACCGCACAGCGCACACACCTCACGAATTCAAGCCCACAGCTCCCGAACTTTTTAGACATGTTTAAAAATTATCGTGAGGTCGAGATGTTCGGCTCGGCTCGTATCTTCCTAGCACACGACATGAGCCGCAACATGCGAGCACAACCGATTTCCACGCGATTTCTCCCGAGTGAAAAAAAATCATCTGCGAGCTCGTAAAACAGCAACAACAACAAAATCGCACCGTGTAAGCCCGCCTTGGAGTATGAATATATAAACAGGCGTTTCAGTATTAAATGCATTTTCTGAGAATTTATATTTCATGTTTTGACAGCAAATGTGACATCCATAACGCTGGAATTGCCCAATTTTAAAGAATTTATCCTCAACTAGTTTTTTGGTGTAGGTCTATTTTATTATGTTAACTTCAAATACGTAATACTAATAGTAATTTAAAAATGTGGTAGCCCTATGTCCAACACATCACACTCCACTGTTATGGGGGCAATTTCAGTAGATTTGCTCACTAACATTGTTGTGGAAACACAATAAGAATGGAAACTGAAATATGGTAGTATCGTGCTACAGCGCACATTATATCAGCTGCAGTTCTGGCGCCTCAGTCCCAATACTGTAAAACTCGACGTAGGCCTACATTCACATCACATGTTAATGCAGCGGTAGAGTTACACTCACAGGACACTGCACTTATTCGCAATCCCAAAAGTTCATTATTTGCTCGTGCTTTAAAGCTTTGCCGGGTAAACATTACTTTGGCGTTCTGTTCTAATACACTTTTTCTGAGCGCGTACTGAAGTGCGCGCGCACTGTCAAACAGCGCCAAACTAGATTTTTGTTGGGTCAGACCATAGATAGCGATGGGGGGCCGAGACCGAGAGAGCTACATAAAGCTACATGGAAAAAATATACACCAAACAAGCCACTTTGAAATGTAGCTGTTTTGATGAATACAAAAGTTGGGTGACCCTCCCCTATAGACTAAAAAAGTTGGATGACCCTCCCCTCAACAAAGATTAAAAAGACATGACCCTCCCCTATTTTCCTCCGGTGGCCCTTTCCATAAATACCGAAAGGTCCCTAAATGTTCTGATTCTGAAAGGCATTGTGTAAGCCTACGGATAAATCTTCTCCTAATGACCTCTCTCAAAACTCTTATAAGTCCATACGGAGGCAGTATTTGTATTTATTATTGACAATTAAAAATGAATAAAACTATATAGAAATCTATATTAAGTTAACCTTACACTGAGCGTTTTACGGATTTTTTTCAGATGCTGAAGAGATCGTCCTACTATTTGGATTCAATGCAAATAATAATACCGTAATAAAAAAATGGTTTGTTATCTAACTTTTTCTAACTCAAAGGTATACCGACCAATCACGATTTGCTGTCGAAATCACGTGTTACCGGTTCACACTGACGCAGAACCTCCGCGACCGATAGTTCCTCCATGTGAATGTCGTCGCCAGTCTTATAAAAGCTAATTTGACAAGGTAAGAAAGCAGTATTTGGTGTATCGCCACAACCGTATGATACAACATGTTTATTGAACTGTATCAATGTTTACTGAAAATGTGTTGATAACGTTGACAGTTTCATAAGCTTATTGCTGCGCCTGCCCAAATCGGCAAGGTCAGAAATAGACTTCTGCCCATGACAAATAGCATCTAGGTAATTCAGACATCTGACAGATCTTTACATACATGCAGTATAATTGGAAAATTGTCGAAGCTCAAGATTATTTTGTTTAAAGCACGAGTACTAGTAAAATATAATTAGTTAAATAAAACATTTAATTGTTCACATCCACAAAACATCATATAATATATATATATATATATATATATATATATATATATATATATATATATATATATATAAAACATCTGACTGGTGTAATTTTTTTTTTACATAATTTGTCTCACAACTATTACTTTTATATGTGCTGTCTGGTTGATTCTTAGGTCCTCAGGTGAGATGTGGGTGCAAATGCTTTGATTGGTTGTTGAATAGAGGAAGTCCCCTTTCCAAAATGACCACCAGGTTGCTGTGCAGATGGGCGCGATGGTTTCCTCGCTTCTCTCAGGTTGCTGTGGCCTCAGCCCGACTACAGACTTCCACAGTTCAACACACAGAGCCGCTGTGCCCGATGTCCGTGTCTTGGATCCGACCTTCTGCTAGGCACTTCTGTCAGGGCAATGAACTGGCCAGGATGGAGGAGACGCCATTTCCATATGAATGTACAGATCTAGTCAAACTTGTTGAAAAGGCATCCACTCCACAGGAAGTTCTTCAGTTGTGGGCAGAGCAAGGCAAATCTGCCAGCGATGCTGCCAGGTGTCTGGTCCAGCTGAACCTGCGGATCATGGAGAAGGGCGGCAAAGGAATTCTGCAGGACCCGCGCTTCGAGCACATGCTGGAGACTGTAAACGCTCAGGTAACCATGACAACCAGTCGTAGCAGCTTGAATTGAAAGTCACTTGTCACTGATAAAGATGTATTGGGCCGGTGGAAGATTATCTTGTTGTTCTCACACAGGTGTCCTCAGTGTGGAATGGATCTCTGGTGGCTCTTCTGCGTACGCTCACTATGCTGGGTGTCCCTTCTGATGCCCCTGTACTCCACTCCATCCAGAATGAAGTGCTTTGGAGGATCCGGCGCCTTACCTACCGTCAACTGGGGTACCTGGTGGACTGGGTAGCCTTTCAGCGCAAAAGAGGGTGAGATTCACATGCTTGACAAAGCATGAATCACAGTCATAGACATTAGCACAATTGACCATTTAAAAATAGACCTATAAGGGATGACTAGGCAGTTGTTGAATTAATTAGTGGGGTAGTCTGTTTGTTTATTTATTCAGATTTTTGTTTTAGTTATAATATTTTAATATACATGCAGACAGACTTATAAAAAAAAAAAAAAATTGTGTTGTGACCAGAGGTCGCATTAGACTTTCTCATTGTCCGTCATTTTGACGGACAGGGTCATAAAAATTCAGCCATTATCTATTATTACCTGATTATTACCCATCATTTTCAAGATTTGATTGCTTTTCATTCACATCTTCATTTTTCTATCATGCACTTACAGGACAAGCATAGCACGGTAGATTATGCAGTTTTTTGTTTATAAAGAGAACAGTCAATGACGGATAATATTCAGTTAAAGCGACCTCTGGTTGTGACCCCCTATATTCATTGGTCTGGTGCATATGAATCAGCCTAATTATACAGGGCTTCCTTAAAGGGTTAGTTCACCCAAAAATGAAAATTATGTCATTAATGACTCATGTCGTTCCAAGCCCGTAAGACCTCCGTTCATCTTCGGAACACAGTTTAAGATATTTTAGATTTAGTCCGAGAGCTTTCTGTCCCTCCATTGAAAATGTATGTACGGTATACTGTCCTTGTCCAGAAAGGAAATAAAGACATCATCAAAGTAGTCCATGTGACATCAGTGGGTTAGTTAGAATGTTTTGAAGCATCGAAAATACATTTTGGTCCAAAAATAACAAAAACTACGATTTTATTCAGCATTGTATTGTCTTCCGGTTCTGTTGGCAATCAGCGTTCACGAATCCGCAGTGACGCTGCTGACGTGTTATCTGGTGTGTCCTTGTATTCGGGTTCAAATAAATATGGCTGGGCAAAAAAATGCAAGTCTTCCTCTGTGTGGAAATCCTTAGACATGTTTGCGAAGATTGTTTTGTTTACAGTGTGTGAACCCTCCCTCAGACTGTGAACGAAGCTCGGGCGCACCAGATAACACGTCAGCAGCGTCTTACATCAGCAGCGGCACTGAACGCGGATTGACAACAGAACCGGAAGAGAATACAATGCTGGATAAAGTCGTAGTTTTTGTTATTTTTGGACCAAAATGTATTTTCGATGCTTAAAGACATCATCAAATTAGTCCATGTGACATCAGTAGGTTAGTTAGAATGTTTTGAAGCATCGAAAATACATTTTATATACAGTATAAAATACAGTAGTTTGGGGTACTTTTTTTTTTTTCAAAGAAGCTTTTATTCAGGAGGACACAGCTCAAGGTTTCTGCCCTAAATTAATACAGTTAAATGAATACATTGTTAGCTAACTGCGTGATATATATGTACATTTCTAAAATGCTTAGCTTGGACAATGTCACCTCTGATAACAGATCACTCTAAATTGTAATGTAGACACATGCATTTTCTGTAAAGCTGCTTAAACTATATGTATTGTGAAAAGCGCTATAAAACATAAATGTGAATTGAATTGAACATTCAATTGATCAAATTTAACAGTAAAGACCTTTTATAATGTTTCAAAAGATTTCGATTTCAAATTAATGCTGTTTAAAAAAAAAAAAAAATTTACTTTCTGTTCATCAAAGAATCCTGAATAAAAATAGCTTAAACTGTCTTGGTTTCCCAAAAATATTAAGAAGCACAACTGTTTCCAACAGTGATAAGAAATCTTTCTTGAGCACCAAATCAACATATTAGAATAATTTCTGAAGGATCATGTGACACTGAAGACTGGAGTAAGGATGCTGAAAACTCAGCTCTGCATCACAGGAATAAAATTAATTAAAATACATTTTGAATTGTAATCATTTGCATAATATTACTGGTACTACTCAATTTTTTCATAAAATAAAAGCAGCCTTGGTGAGCATAAAAGACACATTTCAAAACATTTTTACCCCAAACTTTTGAACAATATTGTATATCAATAGAGAATTTGTATGTGCCTGCATTGAATGAACTGATTTGTATGCGTCAATAATCCTGCAACAAGAATTTTTTTTTAAATCACCACTTTTTTTAAACAAGTTTCTTAAGTTCTTGATGCTGTAGTTGGTAGCTGATTTGTTCTTGTAATGTTGTTGCTTGTGTTATGATAGGTATGAAAACGAAGCGCTCACCACAACCCTGCTGAAACAACTGGAGCTGCGCTGGACAGAGCTAAGTGACAGTCGTACCATCACCATTCTCATGGGCCGTGCTTTGCTTTTCTCCCCCTCTCTAATGGACAAACTGGAGGACAAAGTGAGTCCACACACTTTAAAACACCTTTAGCCACCTAGCCAACCAAACATATTTGAACACTTTGCATTATATTGTCTTATGCTTATGTAACTAACGCAGAACTGTATCTTGTGCTTTCCAGGCTCTGGAGTTGGCAGAGAGCTTTAGCGCAGATGATATCCGGAACGTGGCATTAGCATTGGCCTCTCGAAACAGGAGGGCCGTTTCTTTGTTACGGGCTCTCTCATACCACCTGAACCAAAAATCCTCCTTTGAACTGAAAACGCCGTTGCTGCTTGACATCGCGTACACTTATGGTCAGTGAGAAATTGTGATAGCTTGGGTTTTTGCCTAGACTTCCATAAATAACTGTAAAAATCTAATTATCCTCTCATCTTCCTTTGAATAAAAGGTAAGCTGAATTTTCACCAGCCACAGGTTCTTCAGAGAATAGCGACAGAGCTATTACCTAGGTTATCAGATCTGAGTTCCCTAGATGTCACCCGCTGTGCCAAGTCTCTAGCCTTCCTCAAGTGGCTCCACCTGCCTCTGTTTGAAGGCTTTGCTCAGGTTAAAGACTCTATTTTTTAACAAATCAGCAGCACAAAGTAAATGATACTTTCCTTGAAAGCAACCTTTTATATTGTTTGATTGTAATAGTCTCTCCATCGCCAGTCTCCATCTACATACACATACTTACTTTTGTTCCCCCCTCTGTTGTTTACAGCACTATGTGAGTTATAGTAAAAGCTACAGCACTCTGCAGGTCTGTAACCTTCTCATGTCTTTCGCCAAACTCAACTTCCAACTTGGCAGAGGAGAGGAGTTTTACCATAAGGTAACCAATCAGAGTGGTAATATATTGTTGTTATCCTTGATTAACTGTAATGCACTGTATGTTTATGTATGTATGTAATAGGTTTTATTGTATGGCTACAGGTACACAAAGCTCTGGAAGGTTCCTTTCAAAATTTAGAGCCCTTCCTGAAAACAGATGTGGTCTGGTCGTTGTGTGTGCTGAACCAGGCCAATCCTGATTACATCTCCTCTGTTACAAAGCATGACTTTCAGAAGAAACTTTCAGGTGCGAAGGAATGAATGTGCTAAAAATATTCAGAAAAGACTATACTCTCTTTTTGGGAAAACTGCTGAATTTATTTTTCTTGTGTACCAATGTGATTAATATAATTTGCTGTTCTCATTTGAAACACACGGTGGCAGTATAGGAGCATTGTCCAATGTCTGTCTTTACTTTCATGAAGATTGTAGGCATTTTTTTTTTTAGAAATGAATAACATTATTCAGCAAGGATGCATTAAATTGATCAAAGGTGACCAAAAAGACTATCGCATCATAACAAAAGACTTCTGTTTCAAATGAATGCTTTCTATTCATCAAAGAATCCACTTTCCACAAAAAAATATTAAGTGGTTATTAAGCAGTAAGTTTTCAACATTGATAATAAGAAGAAATGTTTTTTGAGCACCAAATCAGCATAAAGTCTCTGCCAAATACATCAAACAGTTATTTTAATTTGTAATATTCCACAATATTACTGTTTATACTGTATTTTTGATCAAGTAGATGCAGGCATGGTGAGCATAAATCTTTCAAAAACATTTCAAAATCTTATCAGCCCCAAACCTTTGAATGGTAGTGTATTTTAAGGAATAGTTCTCCTAGAAATTAAAATACTGTCATTATTTCACCCTCATGTCTATTTAAATGTATGCGGTTCATTTTTCCATGGAACATAAAAGAACAAATTGCAGAATCATCACACGCTTCTTTTTCATAGGCTGTCAAGCTGTGCACTATATTTCAAGTCAGTCTGCAGTCATATCATGTTTTTGTGTAATTGTGATGTTTTCCTGACTCATCCAACAGGTGGCTTTGTGGATCGGACTGAGAACTATCGGCTGAAATTGCTGCATATCTCTGCCTTTGCTCAGCTGGAGCCTCTAGGAATCACTATTAAATCCCCTGCTGTCCTGATGCCAGCTGCCCAGGGGAAAGTGGAGACCAACACCCCTATGCAGAGCAGCCTACACACAACCCTCCAGAGTCTGACCAACAGCCGGACACAGGCCCTCCGCACTGCTGTCAAAACTGTATACGGCTGGACAATAGGTAAGTAGCAACTACAAGGTATTAAACGTCATAGGTTCGATTTCCATTCATGGGTCTAACAGAACCTCCTGATAATTTTTATATCTGTTGATCTATGTTCACCACAGATGGAGAGCTTGTGGTAGATTCAGAAAATAAACCTATTGATTTGGAGAATTTGAAAGCCCCTCATTTACCTGGAGGCGGTGGTCCTGATGCCTTACCTGCAGGGGCACGACGGTGAGTATTCATGTGAAAGCTTTGTTCTAAGAGCACATACAGAGATGATTTCTGATTGTGTCAATGTGCTTGTGTCTATTTGCAGAATAGCATTTGTGTCTTGGGACTTTTCTAACTTCTGCTTCAAGAGCAAGGATCTTCTGGGCCGCTTTGCCATGCAGAAACGCCACCTACAGCTGGCTGGGTTTATAGTGGTGGAGGTGAGATGAAAACATATCTCAGTTAATTTGAAGTATTAAGGCCTGTTCACAACAAGAACACTAACTATATTAACATCCACATTTACGGATAACATTTTATTCATAATAAGTGCACGCTGCAATTATGTTGGAGAGTTTGGCGTTTTTCCCTATTTTCCACCTCGCTTTTAAATTGCTTATGAATGCCCGTGCAGCCGTGCGCATTTTACTTGAATACTGGGTATTATTATTATACGGGGCAATTGCTTGAATACTGGGTTCATTATTATTCTTTATGATTATGTTTGCAGGTTCACTATTAGCATTGGGTTTATTCAAAATATTGCCAAATAGGTGCTTTAACATTTCGCTTTGAAACCAAATCTTCCGCCATCGTCTTGTCAGTAAGCTGGCCTCACTCTCGTCACGTGATAAAAGAAATCTGACTGCTGATGGTCTTCCAACACGCAATAACAGTTCTTATATGATGGAAAAAAGTGATCTCCTTTTTATAGTACCAGTGTTGTTAGCCTGATTAGTTCTATTCCTATTGTAATAGCTATTACATGGCAGGCAGTCCCCCTTGACTTAGGGTTATAAATAGCGTCAGTAAAGACAGAACTGCGGAAAAGGACTCAGGCTCTGTCTGCAGCATGTAGGCCAATCCTGTTAGCCCTCTGCCTCCTGGGGTACAGTTTAATAGAGTTGGCTGGACTTGTCTTGACTTCCAACTGAGCACAAGGCTGACATAATGCTCATGTCATTTGATGCGCTAGCTGACACAAGCCGCTTTAAAAGGCAGGGGTTCGTAACATTTCTCCATTTTCTGAGATTGATTTTGTGGTCACATACATTAGCAAAATTCACCCATTGTCTATTTTCAACTGTGTAAACTGCTTTATACATCGCCACACAAAACCATCACTTTCAAACCAAGCAGAATTCTGTTGGTCAATGCAGCTTGAACCTGTTGCGAAATTCTACATTGCATGGATTCCTATTGAAAATACTATTATTTCGCCTATGAAAATTTGCTAAACAATTACAAATGTGACTGCAATTTTACTCTTGAGCATATTGATTTGTCACAACCCCACTCCTTTTGTGTCCCCCTACAGGTGCCGTACTTTGAATGGCTGGAGCTGAAATCTGATTGGCAGAAAGTGGCTTACTTGAAAGACAAATTAGGGAAGGCAGTGGCTGAGGACATGGCTAAGTGAGCCATCAAGCCTGTCAATAATTTTAAATGCTTTGGACACAGGCAGCTTATAGACATCAACAGGGCCAGACAATAACAGGACTTACAGGTGAGGTAAGGATACAGATATTGAGTATTAGATATACACACAGAGAGAGACTGTTACAGCATCCTCAAGTTCCATGATCCACCCGAACATCAGAGTGGAAATCAAATGCGACTGGGAGCTGTGATCCATCTCTGCAGGAACAGAAAGCGGAGCCTCCAGAAAACAGCAAATGCTCGGAAACAACAGAGTTGTGTATCCGCTGCTTTCCCAAAAAGGAAACTGAGCCAAAGAGCTAGACATATGTTGTGAAATGAAAGTGTGTGACTGATCTGAAGGGCATAAGCAATGTTCACCACAGGAGGAAACAACTCCACATCAATTACACTAAATTATCAGAGCGTTGTGTTAATCCTCCTCAACACAACTGGACGTTCACACTCTACTTCCACTTTTAATAAATACATACACCTTCTGTTTTTGATGTGGTTGCCTAGACAACACATGGGGCTTTCCTTGTTTCCAAGGAGACAGTTGTTAGGATGGAAATATTTATGGAGAAAGGGATTGAGAGTTCAGTACTTAAAGATACTTTTATTACACTTAGAAAGCGCCACTCTATTATTGCTTATTAATGAAAAAGTAAAATGATACCAACTCTACTTGCCTCACCTGATATCTGTACATTAGCAAATGTGCTTGTGATTTAATTAAATATATGAAAAATATGGTTGTATGTAAAGAATACATATCAGATGACAGTTTTTGCCTTAAATATTTATTTTGGAAAGGCCATCATTGCACTGTTATTTGCTGTCAAGCCTGGAGTTACATGTCACTCTGGTCAGTCTTAGTGGACCTTTCTCTTGAAATCTTGAAAAGATTTTGTACAGAGAATGGATTTTTCCACTTAGACTTTCACCTTAAGCACCTTGGTGTTTGCAATGTGTGGTATCAAAAAAACTAATCTCGTATTTTCATCAAAGAGCATATGATGACTGATGTATTTTGCCCAATGTGGTTTGCTAATGTTGGCTGTCTGTAGTCATGCTGTGATGTTTTGCGTAAAGAAAATAACATTCTAGTGAAAGGTGAATCTGGTCTTAATTTATTTCGATGATTTGTACACAGATTTGTACATAGATTGATTGCATGAGCAGACACAGGTTTGGTTTGGTTTGCTGTGGTGCTGAGCAAATGTCCTGATATGGATCAGAATCTAATAAACGTGTTTTTAACAATGAGCTGACTATCAATTAACAATATTGAAATTTGTCTAATGTTTGCTCAGATATGCTGTGTGTACCTTTAAAGCTTAAGGGTGGGCAATTTCGCACAACAGAGTTTGCAAAGCGTCACGAGAGACGGTGTTAAATAACCTCATGGCTCAAAGCACATAACATCACGGGCGTAATTTCCTATTGGGACAGGGGGACATGCCCACGTTCCTGGACACAGGCTCGGTCCTGCTCCTCCGCGGTTGCGGCACAGTCAGCGATGAAACGCCAGAAACAACAACAGGTGACTTTAAACTAGCGTCATATTATCCTGCTCTTATTCATGCAAATGCTTTTAAACCATTTATGCTATGGAAAGCCGTTAGGGCCAAAAACACGCGAATTTTACGCGTATTTCACGCGTAAAATACGTGTATTTTACGCGTGAAATACGCGTTGATTATGTCACGCGTATTTCACGTGTAAAATACACGTAAAATACGCGTGAAATACGCGTGACATAATCAACGCGTATTTCACGTGTAAAATACGCGTATTTCACGTGTATTTTACACGTAAAATACGCGTGAAATACGCGTTAAAAATCAGTATGAACGGGTCCGTGTCATTGGCTGCTGAAGACTTGGGTCTAACCATTTGTGTGAGCTTAGAGGGGTGTACCTTTCATAGACTAGGCTACCACCAGTTTACATTCTATAGATCAGCTTATTCAGGTTTTTTGTATAACCTATATGAATAATATATTTAAATAGCAGTTTTATGACAATTAATTTTATGACAATTTAGATAAAAATAAAATTAACTTGTTTTTCTCCACTCATGCCTTTTTGTAAATAAACACATTAGTGGACATTCTAGCTTTAACATCAAAGCATTAACGTGTGTGGGGAAATCAGTTACAGTGGAGGTAACCAATGCAGGTTTATGATCACTGCAGGTTTAAGATACAGACCACTGTAATCAATATCTGTCTTTGGAAAACAACGTGAGCTTTTGTTGTGCTTACATTTACAGCTATAGCAAGCAGGGGGCGCTTTTTCAAACCTTTTTGTTCTGAAATTGGGCACTCAGACAAACTGTAATTAGGTATACAGGTGATATTATCAATTTAAAGGAATTTAATGACTTAAAGTATTTAAATATGTTATTTAAGGCTTTCAGGATTAGAATGAGAGCTTGTGCTCAGGTCAGGACAGGTATAAGAACTTGATTTGGCTTTCCTGACAGCAGAAGTATTTTACTGCTACCAAAATTAAATATCCTTCTATTTCTTTTTTTCTTTTTCGTCGTTTTCTTGTGTAGCCCAAAGAAAATAGATAGATTGCATTTTTATGAACAAATATTTTTACCAAGATTGCCCCCTTTTGCATATTAGTACATTTACATATTATTATTATTATTATAACAGGGACAATGGACAGTAAAGAACTGTCCCAGAATTAGCAGAGCTAAATTTCATCTGCAGTCCCTGGCATTTGGCAGATGCTTTTATCCTAAGTGCCTTACATTGCATTTCAATGTACACATTTACGTTCTTATCAGTTCTTGCTTTCCCTGGGAATCGAACCCTTGCATGAATTTTGCAAGCGCTAACATTCTACTGTTTGAGCTACAGGAAAAGTAGGAATTTATCTGTAAAACAAATCAACCCAACTCAAGATTTCTAATATTAAAAGTTAACATTTGATTGTGGAAAAGTTTACAGCTGTGGTTCTTGATCAATGCAATTGTAATGAATATCTGTTAAAACAACATAACCTTGCTTGCAGGGACCAAATTACAGAAACGTCCTATCTTAAAGGTATTGTTCACTCAATTTAAAATTCTGTCTTCATTAACTCACCCTCATGTTGTTTCAAACATGCATGAGCCTCTTTGAATGTTTGGTTACTAATATTTGAAGATTATTGGTAACCAAACATTGCTGGTCCCCATTGACTTCCATAATATTTTTTTCCATAGTATGGAAGTTCCACATCCACACAAGAAAGAAACTTTGGAACAACATAAGGGTGTAAATGGGTGAACTATACCTTTAAGCCCCAAGTTATAATCTGACAAGTTCAGTGTTTTAAATTGGTTCCAAAATGAAATCACAGTGGTTACTTAAGACAAGATATTACTCTGACTGAAGTTGTTTCTGCAATACAGCCTCAGGAAACCATTCCAGGTCATAATTTCAAGTCCTCCCTCAGTGTCATATATTATTAACTAATATTCAGGGCAATTTGTACTTACCTCAGACTTGTCAGCAGCTTAATATCCTTTTATCTTAGCTCCATATCCTTTATATCTTTAAACATACAATGCTTTAATAGTACAATAATAAAAATGCAATAAATTAAACTGTGCAATACTCAAATCTATATTTTCTACTGTTTAGTTTCATAAGTAGAGTATATGTACAAGTAATCTTAATTTTTAAGATTTCACATACGCTTTTATTTCTTTTCTTAAATGTGAGCAATGGTGACATGACCAAATTTAAACCTGGGATCAATAAATTATATCTATTATGCAATTTATTTTCCACATTCACAGTGTCATTACATGGACATTTATCAACTTTATCATAGAAGGCTTTAATAAAATAAAGCTAACAGACATAGGCGTCGATTTCGGGGATGCGGTGATTTCGTACCACCAGATTTCGTCATGAGTCATTTTGCACCCACCACTTTTAACTCCCGTCCATATTAATTTGACTTTTGGTTCGATTTTTTGGACCGTTTTCAGTGGTTATGAGGAGCAATATGAGAGAGAAATTTGGCAATCATTGTCTGACCCAGCAAAAAAAACAACACTATAATACATTTTTTATTGATTTTTCTGTTCGCATTTATGAGGGAAAAAACAACGTGTCAGTTCTCGTTTACGGACGTGAGCGTTCTGAAAGCGGCACTAAAAGACTTCTTTAAAACTTTCACAGAGACCTCAAACAGAACAGCTGCCTTTCTTTACATTTATTTTCGTTTTATATTAATTATATCTTAATTTTAATCAATGTTTCATGAACCAATTGTCTGGATTTATTTAATAAATAAGAAGTAAATATAGCAGAATCACGACATGGAGGCGCCGGCGAGTGAATTGGAGTTCGTCTCATAAATTAACCGAAACTCGGCGTATAATGCACATTCACATTCACAGCGTATTAGACGCATTTATTATCATTACTTTTACCGGTTCTTTGTGGCAAGCTTTATGCGTGCGGTCGTGCGCTTGAGCACAAATTATGAGCTTTTGGCAATTTTTTTTTTATAATTATTGACAAAATTAGAATATAGTAAAAGGATTTTTTTGTGTGTGCGAAAGTTTTGGGTGGGCCTGTTGAAAAGTGGGGCCGTGCCTGAGCTACAGGACATCGTCTTTGAAAACATAACCTGCGCGAAAGAGAGAAAAAAAATTAATACGTCATTGTACCCAGCACTTCTGAAAATGCACTGAAAATGCACTTCCGAATGCGTCTCTGTCCCCAGCACATTTCAAACCAAACTGACGCCCATGATAACAAAGATAGATTTACAGGTGACACTGCAATGACTACCCTTTTAAATTGCTAATTTAACCCTTTACACTTTTTTTTTTTTACATCAGCAGGGTTCACTTGGAATGCTCCGAATGCAATGGGCAAACACGGTCCTCAAGGGTCAATGCCCTCTGCCCTGCAGAGTTCAGCTTCATTTCATTTTTTCTAAATGTAATAAATTTTCAGTGAAATCAATTCTGATTTAAAATAGTAATATGTTAACAAACTAACCCACAGTACCTTTTATCATGCAGATGATTTGTATGAATTTATGATCACAAGCTTGGATGTGTTCTGTCAGCTTGAGGAAGGTAAAGTAAGTGGGGAACTGAAAAAAAAAAACCGAGTTGGCTTTATAGCAGTCTCATTTCAGTAAACTGCTGGTTAGGTATGAAATATGCCACATGGTGTCCGTAAGAGACTTGGTGAAAATATGTTGGAAATTTGAGAGTAACCTGTTTATTTGTCACCCCAACAACTCAGTTATTAACAAGGATTGAATGGTTGTACTTAGTTGTGGGTGTATTAGTGTGTGGTTTTCCATAGAAACAGAAAATGCAGAGTAAATATTCTAACATTAAATATTAGAGACAACACACTGACAACATACATTATTATACTTCATCTCATTAAACAACAAATTAAACCCCATGTAGCCTACTATTTAAATCGATTGCTGGACGTCGTAATGTTATTGTAGCATAAATCTGATTTAGCATTTTATTAGCAACCCCCACCCCACCTGTTCCACCCACTTTTTAAAACAAAGTTACGTCACTGATTTTTATGTTTATATGTTTACTTAAATGTTATATGGTGTTTTACCAAAGTGTCTAATCATTTTTACAGATAAATTGCTTTAATACCAATTACCAAGGTGACCTGTAAAATACTTCTGCTGTCAGGAAAGCCAAATCAAGTTCTTATACCTGTCCTGACCTGAGCACAAGCTCTCATTCTAATCCTGAAAGCCTTAAATAACATATTTAAATACTTTAAGTCATTAAATTCCTTTAAATTGATAATATCACCTGTATACCTAATTACAGTTTGTCTGAGTGCCCAATTTCAGAACAAAAAGGTTTGAAAAAGCGCCCCCTGCTTGCTATAGCTGTAAATGTAAGCACAACAAAAGCTCACGTTGTTTTCCAAAGACAGATATTGATTACAGTGGTCTGTATCTTAAACCTGCAGTGATCATAAACCTGCATTGGTTAC